AAACACTGAACCAAACGAAAGCCAAAACAGAGTAGCTGTTCAAATATGCTGTCAGCACTACACATGGAATAAGGCAGGGAGTTAATTTTGTGTGGAATTTACTAGCCTATAGCACAAGGTGGAGGATCTGGATGTTATTTTGTCAAAAGCAAGTGCAGAACACTTGGTCATCACTGCAAGCAAAAGGAGAGGAATCTCTTCAAACGGTGATCTCCAACGTGGACAGTGGCATGTGCCATTGCAGTCATCCCCTTCCTAATCAGGTACAGATGGTCAAGCCTGTAGCATGTTGTGAATTTGTATCACAGCTCACTGCCTTCCTCCTGTACCAGCCCCACATAAAGTTCAGGCTGCTGCTTAAGCTGCAAAACAATGCCCATATAATCCTGTGATTTAGTACCGTGATTTAGTCTCCAAACAGTAGCTTATTCACTTCCTTTCTCTGTTGGAGGAAGGAAATGCTTTAAAAACATCATTTTAATAATTTCAATCGGGTTAAGAAGACTATCCCTTGTGCCAACTGTACAGTTTTGCATGAAGACAGCGAAAGATCTGCAAAATGCCTGGCTCTGGCTCATAAACCAAGGATCTACATTCTGCCTCATTCCCCATATAGCAAGTAAACCTTGATACTAAAATAGATATGGTGTTATTTAAACTGTATCTTAATAGCTTTATTTAGTAGATACTACCACATAAAATACATCCATTGTGTGCCCTAGGCCCAAAGCAATGGCTATCACGTAGGAAGTACTGAACTCTCTTCCAAAGCGTAGCCCAGTATTGCTAGTGGCAATGGATGGGGGGGGTGGGGTGTGTGTATATAAAAAAATGAATGACCATTCAGGAATCCCACAAATCACAGCAGCTTCTTGATTGTACCCTCCACCCCATGCTCACAAGCTCGTGCTCCCACTGGAAAGGAGATTAAAAAAAAGCTCCCAATCCCAGTAGGTATGTCCATAATTCTTCTCCCACTGGAAAAGATGTTAAGCAGTGGCTCCCACTCCACAGTGACTAGATGTCTGCCTAATCCTCTCGCTGTTCAGATAGCTTAAGGCGTCTTGTTCCACTTCCTCCACATTGAGGCATAGCAGGCTTGGCTGAGGTCCCACTTGCGACACAAACTCCACTTCACCGCAATGAAAATTTCTCAGCTGCAGTGGAGCTGAAGGGGAAAGATACAACCTGTAACAACTCAGTACAGAGCTCCTACTCTGTTCTAGCAGACAGCTGTAGAAGTTCCTGGGGGAGGGAAGGCCTTAGAGCAGCTGCTTGACATCTGCTAAACCTCAAAGGACAGCACGGTTAATGAATCTGGGATGTAAGCAGATGAAGGCATTTGGCTAGCATACCTCCAACTTGGAGGAAACAGATATTTTACACTGTGAAACACTGTGAATTACATGCTGCTTGCATAGAAAATAAAAAGCTCAGTGCATCAGCTATCACTATTGGCTACCTGGCCTTACAGTGTTACATGACAGTCAAAAGATGTTTCTGCAGCAGAACATCCTTTGGTGAGCTTAGCAAATCAACCCCTGCAGGACCCGGACTCATACTGAAGCACTAGTGTCAGCACAAGTGGGTGAGTTAGGTCCCCTTAACACAGCAACTGCACAGTTGTGGCAGCATGAGCTCAGCATGCTGAGTGATATCAGCACTCATGAATTCAAAACTCTTCAGCGTTTTAAACTCTGTGGCCATGGTCAGGATTTCCAGGCCTAGTCTTGACTCTATCTGCTGTCCTGTCTAAAGTCAAAACCTACTTGATTTGAGAGGTCTGCACAGTAACTGGCTGGCCAGAATCCCGTCCCATCCAAGGACTGGGAACGTTGCTCTAAAACAGAGAGTTTTGCACGTAAGAGGCACCCCGCAGAAATAAACCTGCATCTTAGTATCAGGGATGGGAGAGCAAAAGGGTGATGCTAATAAAACATGTTCATAGTGACTTTTACAATGTTATTTTGATATTTTTGTAACCATGGTTCTGCTAAGACATGTCTTAGCTCTACACTACAGAATTCACAATTCCATGGAAATCCTCCAAAGATCTTGGTTTGTGGGCAGCGAAGGCAGCTCTCCTTCCCCAGCCTGGTCAGAGGGCTCC